CTAAAAAAAATTCCAAATTTTGAAAACAAAGACTACTAGTCTCTGCGGAGTTCTATTGTTATCGCTATTGTTTTCATTGAACAAAGACTGAATGCATAATTAATGTATGGGGTTATATGGTACTCTTGCCCAATGACGTAGTGAAAAACTTGCTAAGCCACTGTGCTAATTAGAACAACAAACACTGCCCTATTTTGAAAAACTACAGACACAGGAAAGTAATTTTCAGAAATAGCAGAATGTCACAGACTTATTACTTGCTTACTTACTAACTGGATTTTAGCATAGAGGATATCGTATAGGTACCCTAGCTGCTAAAACTATGATATTTGTGCTCTCTTTATGGATTCATGTTATTGTCACAAAAGGAAAGATTTTGTTGATAATGTTAGGTGTATAATTTGGGCACACCTGAACTCATGCTTAAGATCATTAACCCTGATGAGGTATAGTATAATCTCCTAGATAAACATAGTTTGTTAATTGGCATTAGATTTCTGTTACCCAGCACTCACATACATATAAGACACGATACTTATCTGACCTGGGTAAGGGTGCCATTTCTATGCAGTTTTTCTGCGTCGTGGGACTCATTGCGTAACAACAGTCCTTGCACACCTAATGTTGGCGTACTGGTGTACCCTCCTTCAGGCATTACTCGGCAGAGCCATTGCACTCCGGCTCTGTTAAGTATAATGTCGTTCAGCTATAGGACTGACCATTGCACAACTGATACAATAAGACACTGCATACTACTACTAGATAGAAACTTTGTCAATTTTTGAGCTGTTTTGGGTATTGATACTTTTATTTTTTTCTAACCTCTCCATCTAGGAACTTCAACAGTGAAGAAGGGAAGAAAGGCAAGTGCCATATGTTTATGTACTTGTGTGAGCAGGTAGCCCAATGGGAGGATAAACTTATTTCAGCCAATTGAAATAGATCAACAAAAGTAATTTTACAATTGTAAGAAATTCAGAGCAGACACAAAATAGTTAGGCAAAGGTGCCTAATGGTTAGACAAAAAGTTATTATTTGCAATTAAATTAAAGGACATTCTCAGGATTGATGAGTTTGGCAAACAGGTTAGGTACCAAATTTTATTCTCATCTGAAAAATGGGATTAAAAAATTTGATTTCTTGGTTGATCTTGACAGCATGACATATCTGTTGTTTTTTTTTTCTGAATATATCCTTTCTAAGCACAATTCTCATCATTCATGTTCCACAGTTTTACAGTAAATCCTTTTTTTGAGGTATTGTGAGAAATATTTAAACTGATTTTAACTTCCTTTTTTGGTCAGTAGACATGCTCTGATCGTGGTGTAGAGTAGCCTTTGGCTCGGAGGCGGTGTAAAGAATGCTCAGCCATCTTTCCTAAGATCGGGAAGTCAGCACAACTAGAAAAGATAATAAAATGGGACAAACCTCATAAACCAGAGGCACTTGATGGAAAAGCGTGTAAGTAGCATTAAATGTAATATACACAGCATTAAAAAAATAGGCCATCTTCTTGTTGATATCATTACTTTGTTAGATAACATGAGTTACACAACCTTTTTCCTACATGTATGATATTCTACCCTACATGTATATGTGTAGGAAAACCAAGAAAAGTTCCTCAATGTTTTCTTGTAATATAAAACATGTGAAGCTCAGTTACACACCTGTACTGGACAGGTATAATCCTGCCAAATTTATTATAAGTGTGTATTACATGCATTACCAGATTTTATGATACTAGTTTATGATACACAAAAAGCTAGCTTTGATCTTCATTGTACTTCAGGCTGATATTCTAAACATGAAGCACAACTGTGATGTTGTCATCATGATGCCAAACAGGCATGGTGATGGTCACACCTTAACTATGTATGGCACTGCTGGTGCAGGGGTTGCCTTCATCAGAAATAGGAATGACATTAAGATTTCAGAAGGTGGAGATGTGGCATTAGAGCTGTTAACGAAGTTTATCAAATGTGCTCTAAACCAACACTTTTCTTTTTTATTTTGTTGTTTTGTCGTTGATTATTTTTGTTTCCTCGTTTCTAATTTTGTTTGGTTTGTTAAAGGTTCTCTTTTTTGGTTCCTGTTGAGCACCACCTGCACATTATGTTCAATATAACTACCTGATACTCAGATACCATGTCTGAAAGTGAAGAGGCTGGACCACTAGATCAAGTGCAAGACAGAATATATGAGGCCTATATATATAAGAATATATAAGGAATATATAAGAGTATATAAGGCCTATATACTTCCTCATTTTGATTATTGTTCTCTTCTTTTGTTGGGCTGTCAAGCACCTTAT